ATACTTGTACCTTCTTGATGGTGGTTGTTGTAGTTCTCCAAGTTTCAGCTCCATACAGTAGAACTGCCTTGACGTTCGTATTGAAGATTCTCACTTTGATATTGGTTGAAAGTTGTTTTGAGTTCCATATGTTCTTCAATTGTAGGAATGCGACCCTTGCTTTGCCGATCCTCGCCTTTACGTCCGCATCTGAACCTCCTTGTTCATCGATGATGCTTCCTAGGTATGTGAAGGACTCTACATCTTCCAGAGTTTCGCCATCAAGAGTGATTTGATTGCTGTTCTCCGCCTTGAATTTGAGGACCTTGGTTTTCCCTTTGTGTATGCTGAGGCCTACTGATGCAGAGACTGCTGCTACACTGGCTGTCTTCATCTGCATCTGTTCGTGTGTACGTGATAGGAGGGCTAGGTCGTCTGCGAAGTCCAAATCGTCTAATTGATTCTGAGTTGTCCATTGTATGCCGTGTTTTCCTTCAGATATTGAGGTCTTCATAATCCAGTCGACCACCAGAAGAAAGAGGAAGGGAGAGAGTAAACAGCCTTGTCTGACTCCAGTCCTTACTTGGAATGCATCTGTCAGCTGTCCTCCATGCACTACTTTGCACTGTAGTCCGTAACCAGATTTATTTCGTTGGCGATCTCGTGGTATTGAACGAATACCAAGATCGTGCCAAGGAATGGTACAAGTGGAAACAGGAGAAAGGAGTACTTGCGAACATTACCAAAAACCGCGGAACAATGATGGAAGGTAATGGAAGCACAAAATGGCTATAATTAGCACAGTTAAACAAAAGCACATTAAAACAAACACTGGTACAGTTGGTTACAATAATAATTGTTTTTATTAAACCAGTCGTGTTCTCGTGATAAATGTGAGTCACTACAAACTAAACCACTCTTCATAATGAACTTCAATTCAATATATTATATTCACGCAACGTTATTATTATTACGTCTGTTAACAAGAAAAAATTCTCCTACTGTGCATTTTATTAACATTATTTGTTACCTTACTATTACATTAATTATAACTTGACGTTTCTAATTTACAAATAACACAATTTCGAAGTAATTATGCCGTGACATGCAAAAGTTCACCGTTTTTAACAAATAACATTGTCAAATTCATTAATGAATATATTATTTTGGCCTTTGTAAAATATCACAATAATTATGTACTTATAACTGTGGAGCCTGACGTTGAAATTATTGAAAGCAATTGTTCGCTCAAATGCTCATTGTTTTTCAGTATATATAATCTCATGATTTGCTTGGGAAAATATTGTTCTATACAACACTGATCAAAGCTAAAAATCGGGTTTTTTTATTGACCAGTTATGCTGATTGCAAGTACTGACAGTTATTTTGCATATCATCAGGCTCATACTTTGAGTTATGAAGTAGGGTGCCTTCAGGCGTACTCGCTGCTTTCTCACTGACTTCAATACAGGTTCATTCGTGACTCAAACCTTGTGTCAAATTTTGCTACATTTATTTATCACACTAACCTTATGATTTTGGAACTGTAAACGGAAATTTAAGCGTACTTCTATTTCTTATTATTTTTTAATGACATTTGTGATCATATAAAATAGTAAATTTTCTCTTTATTTATATCCTTTTCATGTGAGTTCATACTCTTCACGCTAAAGTTTATTCGTAACTACTGCAGTACAACTGAACAGATGTAAGATTTTCGTTGATTTAATATGTAAAGTGAAATTACTTATTTCAAATGACATCAAAAAAGAACCTGGTATTGGGCCATCAGATTTCTATTCAATTACAAGATGTCTTGGGATTTTATAATTTAATTCCAAATTTGGTATATGGTCAGAACGGATGCTTAAACAGGACAAAATTGTATTATACTATATTACATTCATCGTCAAATAAGCACACAACTTGTTGGAAGAATTCACTATTCTGGAAAACCTTATTTTATTACCATACGATAAACTTGAAGTACTATTAAGAAGTCGTGTGAAATCCAATAATTTCAAATGGACAAAAGGAGCTCAGTTCCACAAGATGCTTTCATAAACATTAGAAAACCATGGATTTCACGGTCGACGTCCAAAAGTAAGCTATGAAATGTGGTTTTGGTGATAAGATTCATGTTAATTTGCCTGACAGATTTATTACTGGAATTACTAATCACAGTCTGGTATGACAATTTACAAAACTCCAAAAATGTTCATTCCATAAAATGAGAGATTCTAACAATTTTGAGGCAGTGAATAGACATTAATTGGCGTCCGCGAAAACTTTTTATACAGTCCTGAAACACTGTGATCAATTACGCTTCTTAGGTTTCAGATTCGTAGTCTAGTAGTTAAGAATGGACTGGAAGTGAAAACTGGATTTTGGAGCGTACATGTAGTAATATATTGTATTGAAATGCATCAATGAAGCGCGTAAATATGTACGAAACAATTACAATTATATAGAAAAACACTCTAGTTTCATAGCCACTATTTTTAGCATTAAAGGAATGAACTTATTAAAAATTACATTTATGTACTTGGAATTTGAATGGGAAAATAGTTATAGTGGTAATGTAAAAGTTATTGTTCATACACCATTTAAGTTTTTGAAATTTGTTGAGTGATTTCTCCAAGAATACATATGACAACATCAGATTCCTTTCTAGTTACATTACTGGGATGACAATATTTAATGTTCGAAAATTGCATAGTAGCTTCGTAAAAGTAGTTGTTTCCCAGATTATGCGAATGATGAGCGTGGCTATATTTATGAACCTAAAACATAACAGTTCGAGATTGCTTTACAAAATCTTTCACCCAAATACTCTTGATCCACAATATAAAACCAGGATTCAAATGTGAAAATTTACAAGACAGAGTATTTTGAACAACCAGGAAATTTGGAAATGATAGTCGGGTACGCAAGGCAGTTTATTAATCAAAACAATCAGAAAATCACTCAACAGACAAACACATAAGACGTATTTTCTTCAAGGGTTTGTACAAAATATTCGAATGTGCATAACTAAAAGCTTCCACAGGTTCCATATGAGATAAGTCTCAAACTGAACTATGAATCAACTATCAGATTTACTTTAGTCGTTGAGCGTTATACTAAACTTTCTAACTGAATAATGGTGTGATATAATTTCTACTTGGTTTCACGAAAATGTTTAACTCTACTAATATGCAATTTGGTATTATGTTCGATATGCACATATATAAGATAATGAATTATGATGCTGATTACAATAATACGGATTGTGTGATAATCTTGAGAAATATATAGGCTAAGAGCTATATTATTCACGTTCTAAATTTGTATCAACTAATGGCTATCACATGTGCTTTAAAGCTATGATTAAGTGAAAATTGGTTGTTTAAAAAGGTGGTTTTTTCTCGATTGGTTGAATGAAACCAAAATGCTTTTGATCAATACGACTTAACGTGAAGAAACGTTCGAGATTATTATACTTTACAATTGGTTGTATGTAATATGCTTAAAATAAAAACCTTAATATTCGGTCTAATATTATATTTGTAAAGGATTTTAATGAAAAACATTTAATGATCGTTATGTATCTTTGAAAATATTATTATTATTGTCTTTATGATTGTTATTATCATCTTGAGGAATTTATTCAGTATCCACCCCTACCTACTACATTTGACCTAATTTATATTATTCTACATATTACGTAATTTCTGATTATTATTCAATTATTCTCACTCTCTTTCAGCCCATGTTGACCATATTTATTCTTATCATTATTTATCTCACAATTTCATTTCGCTTATAAACTGATCCAAGTTAACACTTTATATTAAACAGCCCCAACATTAACGATCTGAATTGATTTTATATAACAAACAACAATTCTTAATTCACATATTACAACTTCCAAATGACGTACTCTGCCTTAAATCTGGCCAATTTTATAGATTATTAATTTAGATATGAGATAATTGTAGAATTTGATGAGAAATTCATTGAAAAGAATATTCTTCGTTCAGACAATTGTGAAAATATTTCCATTAACAGATATGAGACTGTATATTCTTCTCAAAGTTGTCGCTGATCATATTGTCTAAAGTAGTATTTTTAATTTTTACAAATAATCTGTCCAGTCCAATGAACATGAAATACTTAACAACAAAAAATAATTAGAGAGTAAATGATTGTAACCAATTTTGTTTTTTTATAGAACATCAAAAGTTAATGGATATTCATCAAGTAACATTGAACAATAAGCATATGAAAACAATATTTTCGATACGTGAGTTCAAGTTCATTTCAAGTTAAATTCTAAATAAACAAAATAAAATATCATTAATTTTTTCTTAGTTTTATTAACCTGATTGTTGTTGTTTTTCCAATTCGAATAGAATAAGTATTTGACAAATTATAGAAAAAATGATGAATACGGTAGGTAAACTAATTCATTGTTACATAGTAATATGATATGTAGTTGTTTGTTCTTTATTAGGTGAGAAATCATTGAAATCTAAAAGTTAGTAGATAGTTTATGTATAGTGTTATGAAATGATGTTTAAATTGCTGTTAACTAGTAAATTATAGAAAAAATAGCTGTAAACAAAACATTTTTTAGATTACTCGTTTTCATTCATCTTTACAATTTCATATAACGCTCAAACCAAGATTAGAGTTTGTGTAATGTAATTCAAGGTATTTGAAGGAAATTTGATTTTTTTTTGTTCCATTAAATGGTACCAAAGAAATGATAAAATGTTTATCAATGCCCAGGTAACTAAAACAAGATCAATTTCAGTTATGCTCATATTCACGTAATTTTTCGAGAATCTGATAAGAATCAATAGTTATATTATCAGTTCAGCAATCAGTTTAGGTCTTCATTTCAAATCTGCTTTCATGCTACATTGTACTGTAACTGTCTACTTTTAAATGTTTAGACATAATCGATAGATAAATTGTGTGAATAATGATTGACTAACATCTGATACTAGAAGTAACTGAGATCTTTGTACAGCTTAGAAAGTATAACATTCTGTTATAGGGGCTACAAGTGATCTCTGGCTATTTGAAACAAACTATACAGTCCATTCGTCCATCAGTATTCCTTAGGCCTTATTCCAAGATATCAGTAGCAAGCAAAGTAGCTATACAAAAGAACAAACAGGGAAATGATCGAAAAGGGTGTTTCCAACAAGCCCAATGAATAGCTGTATTTAAATCATCGGCGTCATAGTTCGACAAATTAAGGAAGTAGGTATACAAAATAATGTTGATCAATCATTATCCGCGCAAACAAATTAAAATGCACATTTGTTAAGAATTCAAAAAATGGGTTGAGTAGCACACATAACAAAGCTAGTACAACTTTATTTTAAAATTAAAACGGAGGAATATATCTCACTGATTACCATTGCATCGTCCTAATGTCATATACTATGTAATCCTGTTACCTCATAATTCGAATATAAGCCAGAGTAACTAAACAAAGTGAATCAAATCATGTTTTTCATAATGATTTTATTAATACCAATTTTGTTCCCAAAAGTAATTGAATGTTAAACGTAAAATGCAATAAAATAAAATACTAAGTTACTTTTTACGCGAAAGATAAAATAATCATAATTGTAAGCTGATGGGTGATATAAATATTGATATAAGTATTCATTCGTTTTTTTTTTTGGTTAAATGATCGAAATGAAGATGTTTCAACACCTTAACATATTGCATTTATTCAAATGCATTAAACCATATGTTATAATTTGTGTCCTCAGTGTCCTGTTAATGGATAACGTAACGATATCGCCAATTAGAGAACATTGAATTACCGATCGAACGAGTGACGCATAAAACGCGTGAGAGCAGTCTAGAGTCCTTATTGGTCCTGATTTCCGCCTATCCCAGCCAGTTGAGTTCAGAACATCAATTTCAGCTTCTGTGATATGAATCATTTATTTCAAACATACTGGGTTTAAATACCAACCAGACAGACTACATCGTACCAATAAAATATGAAACAACATTTGTACAAGAATTAGCACAATGTGGCTGTGAATGAGGGAGGTAGTAATTAATAGACAAGACATAATTCAGGGATGATAGATCGTATAATCATAATTCATAGGCCAATATAAAGCTCGTAATAAGAGGGACATGAATATGAACAGTTTAGTTATTTAACAATTATACGATAAAATTATACGCATATTATTGGTTCATAAATGGATCCCAAAAGTTACCATTCATTATGCTTATCGGGACCTAACGCCATACAAGTTAGATAAATCAACTTTTATGTCTATTTCATAACCAAAGCTAATCTGTAATATTCATCAATTTCTTGAACTACGGAATCTTTAGTATTTTAGTGCATTTAAAAAGTATACGTAAATGAACTATTGATTGGAAATATTATGTTTGATAAAAGAAAAACAGTCATTTAAGACTACACTCAGTTCATTATTTATAATATGCCATCAGCTTTTCAAATGATCTATCTTAATAATAATATTCATGTTTAGTCTTAACTTTTTTCATGATAATTTTTAATGTTAAACACTGATGAAGGCAGCACATGAGTAGAAACTGAACAATTTCCTATGTGGAAAAGCGAATAGATTCAATTGATGTAAGTGTCTAAAATATTAGTTTGTTACTTAGCTTAATGATAAAAATAAATTTCGCTTGATCAGTAACCAATTATCCTCATACATATATTTTTCTTTTTTCAGCATTGATCATTTCATACAGAAAAAATAACAATTTCACACTAATTGTAATCATACATGGGAAATTATCAAACAAAATGTGAACTAATTAAAATGGCACTGTATCACATACTATCTTCCTGTTTGATAATATTTACAAGTCTCACATTGATTATTTTACAAACAGTATTTTCGTACTACATTCCTGTAGGATCAGATATGGCTTGGCCTTCAGTTCTAATTCCATTTGGTTATATTCCTGCAAGTCTATTATTTCTGACAGCTGGTGCAACTTTAGCTACTGGATTAACAAATTCAGAACTTTGGCAAGCAACCAGTGTTGTATGCTGTATACTTCCATTGATAACCACCATTGCTATAGCGTGTACTACATTACAACAATATATGGATACTTTTCCAAAAAATTCAAGTATTTTGATTATGGGAGTCATTAGTTGTTTGACTTCACTTTTATGTTTTATTCATGCTATTCTAATATGTGTCAGCCAACATTTTTTTCATTTACCATAACCAATTATCAGACAATTTGATTGAGTTTCAAACGTTTTCGTTACCTATGAAATTGTAAAATCAAATTTATGATAGGGCATTAGGTAGAAGTAAGATTTGTTACAGGGACAAAAATGATAAAGCATCAGTTTTTATAAACAGTAGTTGTACGTAAACATATGCCATTTATGTTGATGGTATCACGAGTTGTATAGAAATTACATGAAGGTTTGTCAACACTATGTTGTATCAGTTTAAATTTCACAAAAATCAAAAATATTCATAACTTCCTAAACGTATATCATTTATAAGTTTCCTTCCAAATGTTCTGAACCATAACGCGTCATTAAAATAAATGCTTATCAGTACTGAATCATATATCTTAATGATTATGTTGCATTTTCTCGACAGAAGTGGACACTTAACTGGTATTATATTAATTCTAGAACTTTATTGTATGTCTAGGATATAAAGGATTGAAATTGATGAATCTTCATTTTTATTAACAGTTAATTAATTTAAGGATACTTTTTTCAGATATTAAAAATAATACACAGGATTTTCTGGTTATAGCGTTTGTAATGTATAGCAGTTAACTTTTTAATAAAAGAGTAATCAGTTACTCAGTCAATTAAAACCACGATCAATATACTTGGTAGCTATACATGTTTACATTATCAAAGTAATTAAAAGCTATTGAAAAGTATCAATTAATACTCGACGCAAAGATTAGTTGTAAACGTAATGAAAGTTAACTTTTTTACCCAACACTCAACGATAAAAGCACATATATTCCTGATATTAATATTCAAAACAATTCAGATGACCAAGTAGATATATCTATTTATCGAAAAAACACTGGGTGGGTTTTATTTGAATCTGAATAGTTTCTGTCTAACAACCTAAAAAAGACTGGTTAAAACACTATTCTATCGAATATGGAGACTATGTTTAGAGAGAATATTGAATAGGAACTAACTATAGTTTAAAAGTGTTTACGAGATAATGTTTATTTGAGAAATAAGGGAACGGAATTCGCTAGGGTCAGGAAAACTTCGGTCGTTTTACGATTTGACTTCAAAGGCGATGAAATAGTTAGAATGATTAATTATAGATTAAGTGCTATATTGAAGAAAGCATGTCCAGTGGCTAAACTAGTTTCATCACAATAAACGAATTGTTTATTCAGACAAACAACAGTAGGAAATTACAACCTTGTTAGTTTAAACTGTATTTACCGGTCTACATGTTTGTCCCATAGAATAGAAAGAATGGTTCATATTCTCCTGTCAGAGCAAATTCTACAAAAAAGGTCAACATATTTTGTCATAGCCCGTTATCTGTTTCATAGCGGATACTATGTTGATATTTTAAAATCATTCGAGACAATCAGTACTTAAACAACATCGAATTTATCACTTTACCTCAAAGCTATCGTTATTAAACTTCGAAACCAAAACTATGTGTATATAAGAATACAGTTGTAAATCCCTTCCTATCCTGGTAGCTTTTTTTCTCAATATTCATTTATGTGATATCATATTCTCAATAAGAAATTCCTTTCTTTCATTTATGGGTCTTTTCTGAGCTGTATTCGTCTTACTCTCTAAATCTATCCAATTTATGATTGTTACGTAATTTTTGTACTCTGGAAATGTGTCTCCACGTGTTTTAAAATTTTTCTTCTAGAACTTTTACATTTAACAACATATAAATATTGATTGATTTCTGTCATATCTGTTATTTTCATCTTACCAATCTTCATTAATATGATATGAATTATATACATTGGTTATAAATGATTATTGCTATTGTGTCCAGGTTGTAAGTAGCTAACGCTAATCTGTGTAATAAATAAATTTATCTTATTCTACCACACTTGTTGTTCTTGCTTTAGTCAAATTCCTCAATAGGAAAAACTGTATGAACTGTTAGAAATAAGTCATTACTGAATAAATATAAAATCACAAGAAAACTGCCAACTAAGATTCTATTTGTTTTCATGCTTAGTTCATTTATCATTTGTTTTTTTTGTTAATAGACTTAAGAATGTTTTCGAACAACTGAAAGGGGTGTACTTCTTGTTCAATCAACTAATAGATATGTAGTGGCTTTGATTCGCTAATCGATCACCTGGATGACCGTTATTATATAAATCTCAACGGTGCTTTAAGTCAGAAGGCAATGAGAAGCGGCAACTACAGTTTATTAGGTGATAGTGCAGATCACAAGGCTATAAGCACATCAAACGAATTTGAAGCGGACAGGCGAGCAATTACATAGGTAAGTTTATAATGAAATTGCATAAGGGCGTAGCAAAGGCTAATAATAGGATTTGAGTACATACATACATGGAGAGGAGGATGAATCATCGAGTGATATTTAAGCAACCAACACTTTAGCTAGAGTGTGTCATGTACTCTAGTGAATTGTTACTATTCAAATAACATTGTCTGTTAAGTAAGTTAATAAAAGGGCTTAAGCAGAATTAACCATAATTGAAATTGGTTGTAGGATAGTTTCTATAGTTAGTTAAAGAACGATTGGGAATCACACCAAAGTGATCCTACATGTAGTATATATTTAAAAATCACAAAAAAGATTTATATCGTCTTCCTTTCCAACTTGACATCTAATACCACATATTCACAGTGTTTTCCAGCTTCCTTTGTTCTGTTTATTAAAATTGAGTAGATTAGACGATAGTCATTTTGAGTATTCCATCAGTTGTTCAACCAAAACACCGTTGATTGTTGATAACAACCGTTCAAAAAGTATTAGTTTTACCATGTATTCTTTCAATTAAACATAATTTTTGGAATAATGAAATATTAGTAATATTTCAGAATTGAAAATTAAATATATGATGTTTTGTAACTTAATATAAGAAAAGAATTCTTATTTCATTTCAAATCTTCTAGACTTGTTTGAAACAGTACATAAATGATATTTTTGTCAATCCATCTATTAGCACTTTTTGAAAGACAGCATAAAAATGAAAACATTTTTCACATTCCCATTTCATATTTAAATGATTTCTATACATATATTACACATATATAGGAAATAGGTAACATTTAAGGCAAAATATAGTTAAAAGAATGATAATATACCTCCCACTGTCTAAATATATTTGACAATAATCGATTGTGCAAGGCTAATCTATTGTAAATTTAAGTAAGGATTTAAGATTATCAAAAAGTATCAGTGAACGATATATTTTACAGAAAAAAAGAGATACCTTTTACAATCTTACTTTATTAACTAGTTATATCTTAGACTAATTACAAGACTTAACAAGATTAGGAAATGATTTAATGGTTATACGAATATTCACAGATTGAAATCATGAGTCAATTGAAGCTAGACCACCATGGAAAACCTGGAAACACTGGACGGCCGTTTCGTCCTAGTATGGGACCCCTCAGCAGTGCGCATCCACGATCCCGCACACCGAGAGGTTCGAACCCAGGACCTATCAGTCTCGCGCCAAACGCTTAACCAACTAGACTACTGAGCCGGCATCCAATGGTGTTAATGTCTAACTTCAACCAATCCACGAAGTTGCTTTACCGTATACCACTGTCTTCAGTGAGATGATATCTCACAACAGACATGGTTGAACTCCACTGATAACGACCGTCCAGTGCTTTCAGGTTTTCCATGGTGGTCTAGCTTCAATTGACTCATGATTTCAATCTGTGAAATTTCTAAAATCTCCACAGACCCCTTCTGATATACGAATATTCGTCAAGATTAGAACGAATAGTTTGACAGAAATTGGGCGCCGAGTAAAGAGAAGTCATTATACGTGGAAATTATATTTGAAATAATCTCAGCGACTGAAATTTAAATAATTCCAAAAGCTATATATTTCTTTGATGATTTTGATTATTACCCTGAAGAAGTCCAGACAAGTTAGCTTGACGAAACGTTGGAATTATTTAAATTTCAATCGCTGAGATTATTCCAAATATGATTTTCACATATAATGATTTGATTGTTAGTTCTAAAGAATCAAATAACAAAAAATGACTTTTACTAAGGAAACACACTATAAAAAAAGCTAATTATCCTATATATCAATTTCATCATCAGTTTTCCTTGTCACTTATGAACACATTTCTATTCTGAATAAGAAAAAAACAATCACAATAGTTTTAAATGATTGATCGTTTATTTGCCTAATTTTATTCACCTTACCATTCTTTATTTTATAAAAGTGTCGTAGAAGATTGTATGAATTTCCCCCATAAACAATTCTGTAGCTAAATAAGGTAACTGAAATTTTATAGAATCAATAAAATTTCTTTCATATATTTAATTATTTTAATATACATATACAAAAGTCATAAATAAGATTTAAGATTGGTGTTGTTACTATGTATTATGCATCAAATGAGCATGTGATGTGTGTTAGTTAGTGTATACATTCGATAGAAGAAAGAAGAAAAAAAAGCAAAATAAACCCATCACACAATAATTTAGTCATTTAATTATTACTGAATAAATCAAGTGCCAAATATTTCTGCTGTCAGTTTAGAAAAAATTGAATCAATAATTAGACTTTTGACTTAAATTTGTGATAATATTCAGTACGACATCTTACGTCACAGTACTTACTGGGGATAACTTAATACATGACAAAATCACTAAAATATCTGTTTTCGTTATAAAACAGAGGTAAATACACTTAACTTTAAACAGGTTGCAGGTTCTAACCTAGCTCTCCTTGCTACTGTTTATGTAGTAGTTTAGTGGCCTGAGATCTGACTCCAGGTAAATCTTGTGATTATCGTTATCAATTTATACATATCGTCAATACTCGTATATAATTATCGACTTAGCTCGCGTTAGTGAATAACGGGATTAAATAAGTCAAATACGAGAATGGATTTCTAGTACGTATATTTTATACATTGATCCAGACAGACGATCGGAGAAACGAAGCGAGATGACACGTAGTGGAGAAGGCATGTGCGCCAACTCAAGGTTGATAAGCGAATAAGTGACAGGGTAGAAATGTGGCTTGAGAAGGATGAATAGATTGGTTTGTTCAGAGGCTAGAATAACCTATCTGGGCTTGATATAGGACCAGCCCCTACAGTATATCTAACCTTCAAATAAAATTAATTGCTTAAAAACAATTACATGAACCTACGTTTGATAAACGATTAGTATGCATATCAACAATGTCTGATGATATCAAGCAAATTATTATATTGGATTTGCACTTTAGAATACTGGATGTGTTAAAAAAAAAAGAGAATCAAGTTTATAATGTTACCTTACTCCAAAGTTATTAGCACGTAACGGTTTATTTAAGTATTAAAATGGTGTAGTATTAAAAAACGTGTCATTATGTTCGATATATAAGGACTGAGCAGTACACATTTATGTACGCGTTATGTTATAAGCGAGCTTACTGGATGAAATGTGAGGCAATGATTGTCATCTATTTCACCTTCCGTTAAATGCTGAACTGTGGAGACTGATAAAACTACTAGTAGCGATTTGGAAGTAAGAATAATATCCAATAGATGTGAGTACCTCAGAACATTTTAGGAATATTTTGTCATGACAGATATATCTTAAGAACGAGTCTAAAGAAAAGTGACATTGATTTTTAGAATTATATCCGTGGGATATAACAACAGCATAATAACAAAGTGACAGGTGTAATATCGAAATCGTAGAAAAAAAATAAAGCCTTATGAATAAGAAAAATGATATTTCATTCGTTGGTATTCGACATCTGCTATTGGTGGAATCTCAACACAACTGAGACACATTTGTGTGCGAAAAACTCTTGAGTTGGTGCTCACTTTAAAAACCTCAATGTTCAAATTTTAAAACCTAGACATTACGTAGAGATCCATTCAAGGGGCTCATATGCCAACAATCAATATAGTTTATCGTACTGGCCAAAAAAGTAGTAGTGTAGTGAACGAGAACACAACCGAGGACAACCAAATGTATTTTAATATAACGTTACAGAATATCTTGTTAAAATCTGAGAACCATATTTTAAATAGTTCATTTGCAAAATATCCATCAATTTCCCCAGATTTTGTTGCTCCTTCGTTTCTGTACCAACCACTCTCTTTTATCGTTGTCTTCTCTTCGATTTTCTCAACCTTCTGCAGCCAGGCATTCCACTTTCGATTGATGATGCATATTACTTACATCCGTCGACATCAGTAGCACACGCCACAGTAGTTATAGTGGCTTAGTAGCCTCGTGGACACTCGAACACTTAAAGCAGTGAAAACAGGGTTTAAGGTGCAATAAAAACACCATAACTGGTATACAATTACAACTATATAAATTGAGATGATGAAGATTTGTAGCTCAGGTGGATGATTTGGGTGGAGTTTTGTACTCTGATCTGGATGGTTTGGTCGTGGAACTTTCATCGTTCTTCTGAACGACACCGTCAGCATAAAGTTCAGATAGAAGTGAAGTTTATGCTGACGGTGTCGTTCAGAAGAACGATGAAAGTTCCACGACCAAACCATCCAGCTCAGAGTACAAAACTCCACCAACAACTATATAAAAATATACTTATGTGTTAATGATGATAATGTATAGAAAGTTTAAGAAGACTGTTTTTTTCTCTCATAACTTTGATATGATTGTCGGAAATCGCACAACATTATTCATAGACTGTTATCCGATAAGGAGAATATTGAAAGATCTATGATCACTAATCTTTGTAAATGTATGGTCAATCACTCATTCAAAAACTCACTGACTATATCAGAAAAATGACAACACGAATTAAACATCAAATAACACATACTTTCTCCAATCTGAAAGTATATATTTCAATCAGTACATGAATAAAAAAACGCCAGCGACTCACTTTAAAGAATACACTAACGTAAGTTGGATATGTTTCCACCCAATACTTTTGTGTGGATGAATACAAAGAAGTGCATATAAACATTGGAAATAATTAGTTAATAAGAAAATTTTGTTTACACAGCCAAAGCGACTGATATTTCAGTTATTTGCTACAATTTTATTCTATTCCACTCTTTATTCTTAAGATATTGTCGTTCACTTCAGATCAAGTAACGAGCCTACTAACTAATTAGCTAACACAAAGAAATATTGGACTTCATATTGTCTTCATCTGAATACCTTTCATTTCCAATCTCCTTAGAGCTGTGATCACTTCTCTACATTTCTAACGTGATACCGTTAGTTCTATTTTAAAGTATAAATTTTCCAGATGAAAGATATATTTATTTGAAACAACATGAATCGAGTTTAAATTTCCCTGTGGGCATCAACACTAGTGTGTAGATAGATCCAAATGATAAGTCTTAAATAAGAAAAAACGCATTTTCTGCTTTCCACTGGTAGACATAGTCCAAAAATATTATAGTTAATGTTTAGGGAAATCCTATTGCATTACAGTACAGGTACATAAACCAAGAATATTCTCATCAATATGTTCTCACCCAATTTTAAGGTAATAAGTTCAAATGATTTATTAACAGATGTGTAAAAGAAAAACTTGTACAGGTTAATCCTTCATATTTCGAGTAATAAACACGTGGATATAAAAAGATCATAAATAATCGAAGGATTCCCTAAAGGAAGTTATTATATAAGTTAAGGTATTTATAATATTTACAGAAGTAACTCACGCTTATAAATGCACCAAGAGGACGATGTACGGAAATATAATCGCAAAAATAATGTATATTTTTCGCCAAGAGTGATTTGATCAAATTATTAAAGCCAAGATCATTTCATACGTAGAGTATACGGACCAAATCATATCAGTTTAAAGAAATCAAACAATTACTACTACTTTGAAAAAATAATTTTTACTAATAAGTACTTTTATATACTGACATCTGATTAGTACTTTATAAGATGGATATGAAGAAAAGTTAGACTAGTATACTACGTAATTTGTTGGTTGTCGATTAAAAAGATGTATCAGACATCATTCGAATTCACACAGTTAGCATCATCCAATAAAACAGACCCATCTTCTAAGGTTACTTTAGGTATGGAGATTTCTATTGTTGGGAGCGAGTCATGAACTTTCACATTTATACATAAGCGAAAATCAGCACATAATAAAATACCGTGGATAAAACATAAAAAAGCTATTATACTGTTAATAATACCCATAATTAACATGCTTGATTTAGGTAGAGATCCATCCACGTACTGTTGTATAGTTGTGCATGCGATTGCAGTTGTTACTATTAGTGGAAAGATGCAACTAACAACACTGGCTGTGTCCCATTCATCTGAGTCTGCTAATCCAGCAGTCAAGGTTGCACCAGCAGTTAAAATTAATAAAAACGCAGCAATGTAAGCGAACGGAATTAGAACTGAAGGCCAGGCGAGATCTGATTCTGCAGAAACACAATATGAAAATACTGTTTGGATAATAATCAAAATGAGGCTCGCACATATTAACACACAAAAAGCTACTATATGATACATTGCAGCACTGATTACTTCATATTTCTTTCGAGTGAGCTCCATACTTGGTGAAAATATTTGCAGAATCCACAATATTTGCTCCCAAAGAATCGGTGATTCAAAGGTATGCGAAACGAATATATTAAGTTATGAAGAATTAACTGCCAAATACTGTCACTATTCAAATGGGTGATATAAAATTCCAATATTTTACATTTATTTAAGATTTTAAAACAATTTGTAATGTATCAGTGAGGTTTCTTTTTAAAAAAACCTTTGACAGCCATCAAAAGGTATGTGTAATCTTATCGCATCATCTAGTCTATGCCTTTATGACATGTAATGAGAACTGGGTCCTCATTGGTTGCAAAAGCAATTTTGTTTCACATCAAATATCTCCGTACAAATCAAACATCTATTTGTAAGTATGTTTTATTGATGTTTAAACACTAACGTTTTCAGTTTAGTGAAGGGATGTTTCTCAAATTTACTTAGATACGTATTTGTTGATGTGTAGTCTTTATTACACAGTAGGGCTAGAAATGCAACGAGGCAGAAAAGATGTAATGATTGTGTGTAGGTGTAGAAGCAAGAAATTGATTCCTCTCTGTAGTGTTTTAAGTTTCTTATTTGGCCATGTGACTTTTTTCTTTAAGAATATTGAGTCAGGAGTTATGATTGACAAATGGAAGCTTAATATCAAAAACCGTAATAGGGCTTTAGAATGCTGTCACTGTCTCTAATACATACTATTACTTATTCGAGATTCATAGTGAAATCGAAACTTGGAAGAAAGTAACGATTGGTACCAAATATAGGTAGTTTGTTTTATTCGACACTTTATTTAACACTCAAGTGACTTAAATTTAATACTTAAAAAGGAGGGAGATAAATCGAAGTAACTTTATTGAAAATTAAGGAACTGTATGTTTGTTGATATTTAACTGAATTCGAAGATATAGACCATTAAACTCAAATTTAATAGTCTAAAATTATTTGCTCTCCATGATACTTGAAAGTCCTAGGTTTGATCATTGAGTTGCAGTTGTACACTGATGAAGAGCGTCAAACTAGAGCAAGATGTTGTCCAATGATTACTGACTTTTAAGTCCTATATCTGATAACAACCTTCGATGGAAATAAAATTTTCGATTTATTGGTGTTTTAATTGTTCTTGATAACTAAATTATGTAACAGACTTCATTGGTAGTCAGTATAGTGGTTTCTTGCTTGAAGTATTTCGTTTAATAAGGAACAGTAAAACTTCCGTGTAGCTTACAGCTTATATTGTATGGTAGACCTTTACTCATACTTCATTTCAGTAATATATCCCCGGATAGCCAATATCACAAGCAAAGACTTAATTGATTTGAGTACGATTGACATGTGTTGTTGACTTCTTTTTCCAGTCGTTTACAACATGTTATCCCATTTTAAGGAATAATCATATCAGTTATATCTGTTGGTTATAGGCGCTTAATTCTATGCTAATGTATATTTGTGTATTCCGTAAATTAATGATCAATCAATTTCAGTTACTACTTAGTTTAATGCATACAGATCTGACTATTAATTAGTGTTAATCTTTTTTTTTTAAATTTTGGGTGTTAAATAAATTCTCACGCATTTTTGATTAAACTGGCATTGTTTGACTCACAACTTTCCAGGAGAAGTATCAAGATATATTTGCAGTCACAACAGTGACGAAGTGCACTTTGGACAGTCAATAAATCTTCATTTACAACAGTATTCTATGACCCTATTACGCATTTCAGGAATAAGTGGTTCCCAATTTCAAATAATTAATAGTAGGATTACGGATAAGGTATAGGTTATACATTTTAGATTTATGCCTTTGGATAATGCAGAAAAGTAGTCGATATAAAGAGGAATTGAGGATAAACTTCATTCGTACCAGCGATGGCATTACTTACTTCCTTATGCCTGTTACCCCTCGTGGAGGAGTATAGGCGTGCACAAGCATTCCTCATCCAACCCTGTCCTGGGAAATCCTTTTCATGTCTGCTTCCGATTCCCGACGTAGTGTGTTCTTCGGCCTTCATCTGTTACGTTTCATTTCAGGATTCCAAATAAGGGCTTGCCTCATGATGCAGTTTGGTGATTTCCTCAATGTGTGTCCTATCCAATTCCAACGTCTTTTCCTGATTTCCTCATCAGCTGGGTTGTCCTATCCCACAGTAGGCTGTTGCTGATAGTATCCGGCCAACGGATATTGAGTATCTCGCGTAGACGACTGTTAATGAATACTGATATGATGGGAAGAAAAATCAATTTTTTGATTGATTTACTTATAATGAGTTTTGTTCAACATTACTTCTCTTCTAATTCAGTGTGATGATCATTCACTATATTATTTGTTTTCTTTTGTTGCATGATATTTAATTCTGTATGATATACGATAATCTTGTATTCCATAGACATGAACTATAATCAGTCTGTGACTTGTTATAACTCTAAGTATTTTTCATATATGTGATTTCATCCTAATTATTACTCAAAATGGGTGTAAAATCAATAATATAAACCAGTGTATTTTAGACTATTTTGAAAGGAGGGTAGCTGAGGCGTTCCATATAATGCTTAATCCTACTTCTCTCAATAGAAAGGAAGGTCTTACCATACATCCTACTTGGACCATCTATCCTAGCCATTCAGTCTGATCGTATTTACAATTTCACACTATCATATTACAAATTTAAACTCTATCCTTTCTTACCATAAAGGTCACAGAAGTTTTCATTCTTAAACAATGCACATATACATACGCACAAATTTACATACAGATCACTTATGAATCACCTTGACAGAAATGACATGACATCAACTTGTTCAGACCTGTTTTTTGATTGATCAAATATTATTCTTGCATTGTTCCATTGTACTATTTAAACTTGGATTAATTTTAATTTGGTTATTTATTCTCTGAAGAAGTGACTTACACTAAGTCACGAAACGCCAGAAAATCCAATTTTCTACTCATTGGGATATTACAAATATATTATTATTATTTATTTTGATCATCGTTCGTCGTCGTCGTCAAGGTGTTTTGGGGTTAATAAATCATCACTTATACCAGTCTTTGTGTTCTTACTTTCGCATCGTGGGAATTGCTGAGGTCCCTCGTTCCGAGTATAAGTGATAAGTGTTTTCGACATAACAATCAGCGACGATCAGATACTAAAGTAGCATTAAAAGAGCCAAGGCAATACGCATTCAAACGACAAGCCATAACAAATACCTTTACTTTTTTTATGTATTTATTTGAACACATAAATATTGGTACACGAGGACACCAAGTATATATGCGCCATACAAAACGATGAGGATTCGAAGAGAAAAAAAGAACAATAACGAACAGATTAGTGTAATGTAGTGGAATAATAGTATTATGGGGGAAACGGATAGGTACAATCAGAAGAAATCTTTCAGTTAAAGAAGAAGCGACCACTTTTTATGAAGAAAGTAAAAGGTTACAGCAGGATCGCCACTGGCTTCTATTCTGAGCCATATCTGATAACGTCTCTAGCCACTGTGTAGCACCATCTCTCGGACCCCAACCAGGGAGTCGTGAAGGACCAACAGAAGCCAGTCCTTTGCAGCTTTCTTTCATACCACGACACCATGTCATGCACTGACCACCTCTCCGCTTCTTCCAACCAGTCCCAGAGTCGGCAAATAATGCACGACGTGGAATTCTCTGGGACGACATTCGGAGAACATGTCCAAGCCACCGAAGTCGGTGTTTCAAGATGGTGACACCAATTGAATTATCATCTCTGTGCCCGAACACACGATGCCGAACCTCTGCATTACTGACATGGTGTTGCCACTGGATGTCAGCAATCCTTCGGAGACAGCGATGATCGAACACAGAGAGTCGTCTAACGTCCTCAACTCGGAGAGGCCAGGTTTCACAAGCATAGAGCAAAACTGCTCTCACCGACGCGTTGTAGATCCGACCTTTTACAGCCAGACTAACATCACGAAGGCGCCAAAGGTGGCCCAGATTGGCATAAGCCGCTCTGGCTTTCACTATACGTGCATTGATCTCATCACTCACACCACCACCAGCACTTATGCAGCTACCCAGATACACGAACTTCTCGACTACGTCTATCTGCTCACCATCCAGGGTGAGTACAGGATTAGAATCCTGCCAGTCTTGTAGAAGTACTTTGCACTTCGAAGGTGCAAAGCACATACCATACCTACGGACACTGATTGCCAACTGATTAAGTGCGGATTGCATGCCTTGGGCATTATCGCACAGTAAGACAATATCGTCCGCATACTCAAGGTCGAGAAGTCTTTCTCCAGGCAACAGATCCACACCACCATTACTTACATTCATCAGAGCTGTTTCCAGAATGTCATCGATGGCAAAGTTGAAGAGGAATGGTGAGATTGGGCAACCCTGCCTAACCCCACTGCTCGAATAGAACAATGGAGAAGGGTGGTTGTATGCCCTCACTCCGCCTGAGTTGTTTTTATATAGGGCAGCCCTGATGTCAAGAAACACTACGATTGTTGGCCTTTGATAAGTATGGCGGTGTTCTAACATTTGGCGGAGGGTGAAGATATGATCAATACATCCTCGACCGGGACGAAACCCAGCCTGCTCCTCGCGAGTCAATCTTTCTCGGGTTTTGAACAACCTACAAAGTATGACGGAAGCCAATAGCTTGGACGCAATCGGAAGTAAACTTATCCCCCGATAGTTTTTACAGGAACGACGTGAACCCTTTTTAAAGATAGGGACAACTATCGACTCATTCCATGACGTTGGTACACTCTCTAGTTCCCAAACCTTTGTAAACAACGTCGTCAATTCCGTAGTCAAAAATTCAACACCATCTTCAAAAAGAGCCGGAGGTAAGTCATCTGGGCCAGGTGATTTGTAACGCTTCAAGAGTTGGAGTTCCTTGCGGACTTCCTCCTCGTTTGGTGGATCAGTCGTCACCGGCCATGGAGGGCAGGACAGTCTGACCGATGTTGCCGGAGCAGCAGGCCAGTTGAACTGCCATTCGAAAAATTCTGCCCATCATCCAAGACGTCGGTGGATGTTAGTTATTGGCATCCCATCATCCTCGTAGATTGTTTCGCTCACACCAGACTTCTTGCTGCCAGTGGCTCGGATGAGTTGGAAGAGCTTCCGGTAATTACCAGATGCAGCTGCTGCTTCCGGCTCATTAGCACGCTCCGACCACCAGGCTTCT